TTGTTGTCTTCTCTTTTTCTTCTTTCACCACTCACCTTTAGTATCTGGACACAAGGACAGAATCCTTTACATTAATTATAGGATTATGATTTTACTTGAACCTCTATGCCTGTATCCTATGGAACCTGAGATTTTAAGTTTAGGGAGAGTCATTTCAAATTCTCAGCCAGAGAACTCTGCAAATCCTAGGACTCCAGAGGATACAGCCATGACAGTTCAAGTGGAATCATATTTCTATAAGTGCAAAGGGACCCATGGTTTTAACAAAGGTTGCCTCGCAAGTATGGTTCAAATGTCCCATGCACCCCAATCATGTTGTCAAGCAAGCTTGAGTGTATGGTATATATGAAATGTATTGCATTGCATCAAGATTTCATCTTTTCTCCCATCAAACACTCTGTAAGAGAACATAGGTCCCACCATGATAGGAAGAAAATGTCCACTTTTTTGAAGAAGGATATTTATATGTTTTCAAGCATTAAGTTATTATACTTATCATTTAAGGTAGGTTTTAAGAACATAAAAATTGCAGTAGTATTATCAGCCAGCCCTGGTCCACAGTAGTTAAATGCTGGCACTGCAGCCATTCACAACCACAAGGCTGTGCATTCAATCCTCCAGGGCTCCATGGTCAACTCAGTCTTGCATCCTTCTGTAAGTCACTAAAATGAGTACCAAGCTTGTTGGGGGGCAATAGCTTACACTTACATATTGTAAACCGCTCAGGGAGTGCTTAAGTGCACTGATAAGCAGTATAGAAATGTACTTACTATTGCTATTGCCAACCAGAATAGTTGAATGTTGGACTACAATGGTGGAAACCAGAGTTCGAATCTTCACTCAGCCATGGAAACCCTCTGGCTGACCTTGGGCAAATCACACACTCTCTCAGCCTCAGAAAAAGGCAAAGGCAAACTCCATCTGAATAAATCTTGCCAGGAAAGCCCTGTGATAGGGTCACCTATGGTCACCATAGGTCAGAAATAATTTGAAGGCACAAATCAACAAGTATTGTCTGGAGTAAAGACAAACAATTTAGCTAAAACTAAATTAAGCTGAATTAAACTAAGCTAAGACTAAAACACGATACTAAAATATTAATCTATAACAATAAACACAACCCAGCTAAACACTAACTAACTAAAACATAACTCTGATAAGATATCAATAAAGTCTGTGGAATTAGTTAAAAGGGAGATAGTACAAAAGTGTACTAGAGATAAAGCTAGCGCAGGTTGTGTTGAAGGGCCATCCCTTGGGGATGACCTCCTCTGTTCTTTGTGTATATGTACTGCTGCCCTTTCCCCACTCCATGAAGCCTGTGAGTGATAATTTTATTGTGTTCAGTTACAAGAACATTTCTAGACAACCTTTTAGCCCTACCAGGATATAGCCAAAAAAAAAAGTACTGTAGCAACTTTAATGTCCTTTTAAAATTTATGGATTGTTCAGAATGAGCAGCTGACTTGGAATGTACTTTAATAGTTCAGTGCTGCAGTACATTGCACTTTCAAAATTAATAGAATGATGATAATAGGGTGAGAGGGGTTCAGATCTGCATTACCTTCAGAGGTTATTTCTGTCTCATGATATAGTTTTGTTCTTTTTTCACATGCAAATATGATAATATGCCTTTGGGCACTGGATTTAACTCAGCAGGAGTACTAACAAGAACACTCTTAGAGGTGGGCATGAAACATTTCTCAGTACGACAGTGAAGAAAATAGAGGTTGTCTGTGTTCTTCTTGTTCAATGCTAGTCTACATCTGGTGAGTCTTCTATTCTAATATTTACTTTTATTGAAATATTTGTATCCCACATTTCATCCTCACAGCAGTGGCTAACAGAAATTCAGATAAAACGAATGCAGCATTGCAAAAATACCTGGTAACAACAAACAATGTGTGCAACTATGCTGTAGAAACAAAACACTTTATTGACACCACTTTAAGTGCTGTAGCTCTATCTTATGGAATCTCAGGATTTGTAGCTTTACAGAGTCTTTAGCCTTCTCTGCCAAAGAGTGCTGGTGACTCACAAAAACTACAAATCCCCGGATTCTGTAAGACGGAGTTATGGCAGTTAAAGTGGTGTCAGACTGTATTATTTTAACATTGTAGATTCAACCCATGCCCCTCTAAAAACTAAATGTTAGCTGCCAAAATCGTAAAACAGCAAGCTGGGAATAAGGAAGCAAACCAATTGCATAGCATAGGAAATAGAAAAATGCACTGGAACACCAATCTGTGGATGGCAAAATCCAAGATAGGGTGCCATGACTGAAAAGTCCTTGCCCCACATACCTGCCAGCCAAACCTAAGATGGCAATATGACACAAAACAGGACTTCTACTGATGAGTGAAGTGGGCAAGAAGGCTCATGTCCATAAAGGCTGTGCTTTCAGTAGCTTTTAAGGGGGGTTGCAGACTGCCAGAAATAGTGCAAATTGAGTCCACTTTTAGGGTTAGGGTTAGAGTTAGGGAATCATGGGAACTGTAGTTTATTGTGGCACCAGAGCTCTCTGACAGAGAAGGCTCAATGTCTCAGAAAAAACAACATTCCCATGATTCCCTAGCACTAACCCTAACCCTAAAAGTGGACTCAATTTGCACTATTTCTGGAAATCAACTGTAAAACTTCAGTCAGCAACCAAGACCATAGTCAGCATCTAGGGGTTATTTAGTCTCCATTTCTAATAAATTCTTACTCAAGTTGAAAACCAGGGAACTTGGGAAATCAATTTGGATGTCTGGTTTGCAATCATTCTCCCTTTTCTCCTTGCACACATACACCCATGATATGGAGAAACAACAGTATTTGCATATGGAAGCAACTGTGTGTCAACATGAGTTTGGTTACATGGTTTATTGCGGTTTTAATGTTTGTAATTTTATATTGTTTTTATGTGGTTTAAATTATTTAAATATAACTTGTTTAATTGTAACAAAGTTTTTGTTTGTGAGCCACCTTGGGTCCCTTTCTAGGGAAAAAGCAGCATAGAAATTAATTACATAAATAAACATAACCACATTCACAACGTTAGGCACCAAACCTACCTCCATGCAACTATATGTGAAAATGGATGTATAGGGTCTAATCTACACTGCAGAAACAATGCAGTTTAACACCACTTTAACTGCCATGGCTAAATGCTATGGAATCCTGGGGTTTGTAGTTTGTTGTGGCACCAGAGCGCTCTGACAAAGAAGGCTAAATATCTCACAAAACTACAAATGCAAAAATTCCATTGAGCCATGGCAGTTGAAGCAGTGTTGAGCTGCATTATTTCTGCAGTGCAGATTAGATCTAACAGATGATGGGTGTGTGTATTTCCCCAGTTTGAACTATAAGAGGTTGGATGCATTCATATATATATATATATATATATATATATATATAT